TACACCGGGACGGGCACAATCCCAAGTTTTGGAGTCATTACTGTGATTGTTTTTGCTACAAACAATAATGAAGAATTTCTTTTTTTTTTAACTTTTTTTTTTTTTTTGTAGTTTTTGCCAAATTTGTGACGAGACCCTGACTTTGGATGACAACATCTCAAGTATTTCAGGTGCACACTTCAACTTTGCCAGCACATTTCCCCTGTAGTAGAGATGTTTAAAGTCCACACTACAGGTACCTCAATGCATATGCTGAGATTCAATGGGCTCTTCAATGAAAGGAAATATTAACACCCAAGACCATCTTTGGTCACCTATGAAACATACAAGACTCCAATCCAATCCAACTTAGCAACTTAACAATCCAATAAGACTTACAAAAGAAGTCTGATATTTATGTCACGTCTTCCAATATGAGAAGCTTCAATACACCCAAGTTCATGCCGATGACCAGCACAGCCTCTGAGACATCGACTCATCAAGTATCACAACTTTACTCAAGGTTAAGCACCAATTGCCAATGAATGATCGGTCATACCAACACATAATTAAAGTCATTTGAAGAGAAGGTTACTGACTAGTCATGGTAAAAAATGTAATTGGGATCTTTTTTCAGTTTTTCAAAGAAACTGATGAGAAATGAAGGCGGGCTAGTTTCCAGCGCCGACCACATGATGCAGGAGTTTGATATGTGTGCAAAGAAACCATTTTGCTGTGACTTTTGAAATGTTGATTCTAAATTTCTTAATTACGTTTTTTGCTAAAAAAAATATTCACTAATGCACTTTATTTGGCAGCTGCGATACAAATATTCAACATATAAACTAATTGTCTGGACAGTCACGTAACACAAATGACCTAATTCGCTAAAAGCTTCAGTCGGATCGCAGCCGACCCTAATGTGAGAAGGTTGGGTTCTGACTGAGCTCGGAATATCACAAGTAGACATAGAATGGATTCTAGGACGCCATCTTAATGACAATCCTCCATCCTCAAATTTTTTCAGCGCAATCTGAAATGGTCATGCAGGAGCAGACCCGGCTGCAGGAACAAACTAGAGGGGGGCATTACATTTTTTCAGGGGGGCATACTTTTTCAACCTACATTTTATCTGCCTCAGGCTGAACAGTAGCTCTGTGGCCACTCCTACAGTACTGACAAATAATCGCTCACTGAAAAGGGGCAGTTCATCCTAAAATATATATATATTTTTTAACTAAATGTAGTGCTGTGTCCATTTATTCAACTCAAATGTCAAGAACAGCAACAGGGGCGGGGGCGTACAGAGAGCAGGACTATGCAGCTTCACTGCTCTTAGAGACATAAGCACTTCCAACCCAGTCTCACTGCAATCCGTTAAATAGTCACAAAATGTAATCGATTGTTTCGTGTCCTCGTACACGGTTTGCCGACTATTTCCTGTTCCCCAGCACAAATTTCAAACCAATACATTTCAACTGGAATTATCTTTCATGTCTGGGACACGTTTTCCCATCAGACAGCGCATACTGGGATGTTTTAGTCGTTCTTTTCTTCCCACAGTCAGCATTCACCAGTTTTCCTCTTCTGGCCCGTCCACACTAATAACTACAGAGGTCACTGTACAGATGTGTGGCCCACACTGACCAACGCTAACATTCTGTAAACACCGGCGCTGACCCGGTACCGAGTGCTCCAGCTGCTATAAGCTCCGTATTCATTAATAGAAAATACAAGAACTATACCCAGGCAGAGAGAAGCTGCTCTGAGGTCGCTCTGAAGGTGATCCAACCATATCACTCATAGATATACATATAAAACATAGATATAAACATAAATAGAAGTGCTTTTACTGTGTTTGGGCTACATGCTCGTCGTTACTTTCATTTCTCTGTAAACAAATACAACTCTGAACAGAAGGACACATGCAGGGAAACGGACCAGAACATGTTCTGTGATCACAGCGATGGATGATCTGACTGTTGGAACTGAGAGGCCAGCGGTGGGGAATGTACCTGCAGCTTTGTGCAGCTTTTAGCTAGCTCGTCAAGGCTGGCTACATTAGCTACTAGCCTAGCCTCGCCTAGCTGCTGCTTCTTCTTCTTCTATTGATTTGGCGGTTGGCATCCAACGTTCGAGTGCATCACTGCCACCTACTGTCCACACAAAAACATTACAGATCCTATAGGACGGATTTCTTCCGGGTCTACGACGAGGCTGCGCACCGACGCTAACAGGGTTGCCTTAGCAACGAGCGCAAATTTCCCTCAAACACTGCCGGTGTGATAAAAACACATAAAATACCACAATACGATGTACTCTGTTACACTTATTTCATACTACACGTATTATATTTTAACAGTAGCAGGACTTCAATCTGTTTATTTTAGTTTACTAATACAAAAACACAAGCCTAGTTGTAAACATCAGGAAGAACTACATATTTCATGGCGTGTCCAATCACGTTGTATCACTTACATTTGCATGCGGATGAATCACACTGCTTGGCGCTGCTCCTTGTGTTCTCTAACTGCTGTAGCTAACCATCCTAGCATGACTGCTAGCTCCAGTGTGACTGTTGACTTTGGCGCTTACATTTCCAGGAGAAGTGGAGCTGTATGGGGCTGCTTCCTTCCGTCCGCCCTGTCACTTGTCCTTTTTGTATTTTTGTGGAAATAATTGAGTATGTTCACATTCATTATCGCCAGTAATACGCGGTAATTCACTGCTCTGGTGACCGGTGACCATAACCGTTTGCCCGTTGACTCAGTGGCCCGCCCCCTCTATCTCTAATTGGCTAAAACTGCGCCTCCGTTCGTTGGTTGGATTGTAGGATTGACATATCAAGATAGTTTTAAGAGAAGATGGCTACTCCGACGACAAAAACAAAACCCAAATAAAATAAACAGAAAACTTTGCTTATGGTCCAAGGCGGGCACAGCTAAGCCCAGGGCGGGCACGGCCCCCCAATGCCGCCAGGACTGTGCGGGAGCCATCTGGTGGACAGAGGAGGAATGATGCTGACCTCGCTGTAGTTCAGACTAAGAACAGCAGATTGCTTAGTTTAGAACTCTGATCAGTGTTCCAGTGTTTTGGTTTCAGCTTTTTATTTCTGTGTCTGATGAAAAATAATCGTCTTGTCAGAAGCTCAGAACTTTTGTTGTTTTTACAGGATTGGCTCCAAACTATTTATTTTGGGATAATTTAAATGTGGAATTAAATGATTCTCATCAAGTATCACATTTCAAGCTGATACATTATTTTGCTTGACAGAACTGCACATCCCCGCTGACCGGTTCACTGGCTGAAAGGTGAAACGTTTGGGTCATTTTGGTGATTCTTTTTAGTGAGACAAAGAAAAAAAATCTAATTCTGACATTTAAGAAGCTGGAACAAACAAATCTTTGACATGTCAATTAATCAACCAATCATCTGATTGATCTGCAGCTCAGGTGTGTCTCACCTGTTCACGTCTTCATCCAGCAGCGAGTTCAAGTTCAGCGGGTCAAAGATATTCCCACCCAACAGGAAGTGACTTGGCAGCACGGGTTCTGATTGGCTGTCGCTGTTGGCACGGCGACGCCGCTTAGCCAGCCCTTTGAAGCCCACACCCACCGAGTAGCGTCTCTTCACGATTCGCTGAGTGGGGAGGGGAGGCTGGCCACTCGCAGGCGGCTGGAGCCCATTTTTAGGACGGATGAAGGGGCGGGTCTTAGCCAGCGGCGGCTGCCCTGATAGGCTGACAGTGGAGGGGAAGGCGGGGCTGACTGTCACGGGCGCCTCTAGAGGAAGGAGGGTCTCTTTGTCCGATGACATCCTGAGCATCTTCCACCTGGAGGTCAATCAGCCAATCACTGTCAAGGGAGAGGGAGGGGTTAGTCTGACAGACGGGGGGGAGGGGGGAGCCAAACGATCCTTTAAATTAATCACCAACATCTTTAACAGTCAATGACCTGATCATTGATCTCCTCGACTAAATCATAAAAACATTAAAGTCGATTTTCAGTTTCAAGTTTTAATAGAAATACCAGGTCAGAAATGAAGTGCCATTCCAGGAGCGCTGAAGCTGAGCGCACAGCTGAACACGGTCGTAGCGTTCGCCTGAAAACACTCGCTCGGTGTTCATGAGCAATCCGTTGAATTTTAAACTCAATGAGAAGAGGGTCCGATTCCGGTGACATGAATCAGATAAATACTCAGAGAACGAAGCCACAAGTTCAACAGGTTTCCTTCAAATAAGTCCAAGTGAGAAATTCATTATGACAGCATGAAAACGAAACCCAGTTACACAGGCAGAGAGCGCCACCAACAGGACGCAGTGTGTTGTGTTCAGAACAGGCTTATGATACATCAGGAACAGATTAATACTGGAAGCGCTGCAAAAGGACCACAACTGATAACCAACATTATTTCCACTGGAGAGTATTTTCTGGAAAACTCAAACAGCTGTTTGGTCTAAAATAAAATCAGAAAAGGATTTTTTTTATTTTTTTTTAATTAAATACAAAATGTGGGTCTGAGTTCCTCAGATGTCTGGTTGAGTCCAGAGATGTTCAGTTTGGTGTCAGTGAGGAAAGAACCCAGAGTTCAGACTGCTTCAAGTCAAGAATGACCCAAAGTGATTAGCAGAACAGTTGGTGATTAATTAAAGCTGACAGCTCATGGATTCATCAGATTATTTCTGAAACTTTGGAGTCAAACAAAGTTCTTAGAAACACTTATTTCCAGACTGATCAGACAATAATCGATCACTGTCAACTTTCACTTACACTATGAGTGAAATACATTCGTTTATTTTTTCGTGTGTGTGTGTGTGTGTGTGTGTTGTCTCCCCCTCCCCCATACCTTAAAAACCATCTTAGCCCCGCCCCTGCCGCTGCCTCCACCAATCCCGGTGCTTCGTCATGAATAATTCAAGTTGACAAGCAGGTAAACAGCTAGCTTCAACAGCTAGCCTCGTCCGGCTAACACGCAGGAAGTAGCGAGCACTGAGCGAACACGCATCTCTCCGGAAACACAGCCACCGACAAACCGCCGCGTGCAGACAACGAGACCGCGCCAAGCCCTCCGTGCATGTGCGTGAGCGCGTCACAGCGCGTGTTCAGGCTTGTGAGTCGTGACTTCGGCAGCTACCAGCTCCAAACAGCAACCTCGTAACCGTGATCTGAAACCAGAGCCCGCGGTTTTATACCGCAGCACTGGGCCCATCGGACTGACAGCTGAGCGGACCAATCATGTGCGATGCTGAACCCCTGCCTTTCCCGAGCTTTGGCCAATCACAACACTGCACAAAATCGAACAGCTCTGTTATTGGTCACTGTCCGGAGAGGGCGGGGGAATGGCCCGAGGAGAGAGGCGTCCTGAGCGGTGCCTGACTGCAAATACGAGCACAGCTGACAACAGTTTTTCAATAAAGTAAAAATAAAATTAAAATTAACGGTTTACCGAGAAGTGTGTAGCAGCCGCAGGAGGTGACGCACACGGTCCGTGAGTCCAGTAAAGTTTAGCGAAGAGAAGTTCAAGTTTAGAGTCTTTTAGCGTCTGAGGGAGCGGGAGGTCGTCCTGTGGCTTTCGGGTATTTCGCCCTAAAATTGGGTTGGCAGGAACAACTCGCCGCCTCCTCGTCCTTTCGTCCGACAAATACCGTCAATCAAATAATGCAGAGTGGAGGTGATCAAATGAATACATAAGAACATATTTAAGTTTATTGGCCATCAACATTTACAGACCTGACAGGAGGACAAGCATAAAGTCACCTGACAGGACAAACTGAGGGAGTTTGAGCGTTAGCGTCACTTTGTGTTGTAAACCGCTAAACCAAACCCAAGTTTCTTCTGACACTCATGCACACTTCTAATCTGAGCTACTGAGGCTGTTTTGCCCTCAATTCAATTTGAAGTGTTGACACATGAACTTAGACTGACTTCATTAACCCCGGGGGGGGCAGCAATATTCAACAAGGGGCAAACAGACAACACACAATATTAGGGTGTAACATGAAGGTTAAATAAAGTAAAATAAGATTTAAATATATATATAGAAAGATACCAGAATGTGCAAATGTGCTCAGACTGAAGCATGAAAGAGTGTCATAGGTGTCGGGAGGAGGCCTCCTGTGGCGGTCCGTGGAGCAGCGAGTTCTACCAGTCTGCTGCTGAAGCTGCTCCTCAGGTTGTCCACAGGTTGATGGAGGAGGTGTGAGGTGTTGTCCATGATGACCTGCAGTCTGGTCAGCGTCCTCCAGGTGACCACCTGACAGCCAGCAACAGACTGGGCTCTGCTGGTGAGCTTGTTCAGTCCAGAGGCTTTAAACTCCTGTCAGAGTTCAATCCAGGTGTTCTGATGTGCTGTTTGTCTGCAGCTCTGGGATGAACTCACTGCTGTTGTCCTTCCAGTCCACCAGATGGCGCTGTTCACAGTGAGCTCAACACTTTCCTGCATCTAGTGTCTGCCATAGACAGAGTGATAAAGGGTTAGGCTCATAGACTGTACAACAGATGGACGTAGCTGCCGTGACGTCACCCGTTGGTTTCTGCACTGAGAACATGAAGCCAGGGTTTTGCTACTTCCTGGTTGACATCTTGGATTTTTGGAGCCAGTGACGCAAAAATCGTGGGAGGGGGGCGGAGCCATAGGAGCAGCGATTGGTCAGACGGATTGAGAGGCGGGCCCTCTCTGCCCGCCCACATTTACCGCCTTCTGCTCGCTTCGTCTGTATGGTCGCTGCCGACTGTCAATCAAACCAGCCACGCCCCTTGCCCCGCAAAATGTTCAGATTGGCCTGATCTCTGGATCTGACCATGAAAACTAATAAGAACACAATCCTGAGCTGTAGGAATGCAGTATTTGGTGATCTGTGATCACTTCTTTTCCAGTTCCAGTCTATGGGAGCCAGGGCTTTGTGGAGCCAGCAGCTAGTGGACGTAGTGATGCTGCAGGTTTCTGACACTTCAGGTCGGCTTCATGTTTCAGGGCCGGTTGCGACGTCCATCTTTATACAGTCTGTGGTTAGGCTTGATGCCATAGGACCACATGTTACAGCCTTTTATTCAGGACAGCGCCCCCTACAGCAACGGATGATCACTGAAGGGCAACTTACAGTTTTGAACGGGGATTTCAGTCAATATTCTTGGAATTTAAAGGTTTATTCCACCTAAAATACTACTTATTACAATAATAATGATAACTTGATGACTGAGAGGCACATTTGGACAAACTGTGTAATTATCAAACTCATGTCATTATCAGGTAAGATCATAATGAGATCATCTGCTCGGGCCTCTAGATCTTAGCCAGGACGGATTAAAAGGATGGGAAGAGGCGAAACACAAGAATGGTAAATGGTCTGCACTTTTAGAACGCTTCCTTCCACCTTACTGCCCTCAAAGCGCTTTACAGTGTGTTTCTCATTCAGCCATTCACACACCAGCGATGACTGAGCGGCCATGCACGCTGCTGCCCGCCATCAGGAGCAACTTCAGCTTCAATGTCTTGCCCAAGGACGCTTCCACTGTGGAGGGATCGCACAGCCAACCTTAGGACAACCCGCTCTACCACCTGAACCACAGCAGCCCCAAGAACAACCCTGGAGGCAGATATTTATTTATTTTATACAATAGTAGTCAACAAAAGCAACAACACCACAAAAGTAAATGAGTCTTGTGACTCCCATCACTGAATCTCTGATCTCACTTCCTCCTGAGAGACTCACAGATCAACAGTAACAGACGTCAGTAGCACTGATTTATCTGATAAACTCTACAGATTTCACGTTTTTGTTTTGAAAAAAAATATTGTATTTTTTTAACATATCGTGCCACAGCTGAGTTCCATAAAGGTTCTGCAGTTCTACAGTTTCACCAGCAGACGCTTTTATCCAAAGTGACGTATATCTGAGAGCAGATACAGCACAAGCGAGGATCTGGTCGGGAGAGAACGACCTACACACATGGACCAACAGCTGGTAGCCCTCAGTTAATGAAAGAAAACCCACAACGGTCACAGAAACAACTTGAATCTGACAAAATAATAATAAATAGGGATGGACTGATACCGATACCATCTCTCCTCCTAAACTTCTTTGGAAATACCTTATTTGCATGGATACATTTGTTTAAGATGCTTTATC